AGCCCCCGCGTAAAGCAGATCGGAAGATCGGAAGAGAGAGACGAAAGAAAGCGCGGAATCATCCAATTGAACAAGTTACAAGTTTGTAGGCTGGTAGTATATATAGTTAATCTCTCGTGGGCGTGGGGCGTGGGCGTGGGGCGTGAATGTATGTGTACTACCTACAGCCAGAAAAGAAAAAAAGAGAGAAAACGAAAACAAAAACGAAAGAAAACATAAAAAACGCACACGCAGAAGAAAAAGCATGATGCATGATTGTGTGGGTGTGTGGGGGATCAACTTGCTAGCTGGCTAACTAGTTACCCACCCTCGTGCCTGCATGCGGATTGCTGGAGTCCTCAGCTTGGGTTGCGGTGGGAGAGGAGCAACAGGAAGGAATAGATAGTTCCAGGGCAGAGCAGAGCAGAGTACAGCAGAGCAGAGCATCTGAGGGATGAACGGTGCATCTCATCGTCCAAGCCCAACACGAGCACAAGCGCATCCACGCATCCACGCACCCGGAGTTCCTCACCGCAGATTCCACCCACATGCCACATGCCACATGCATTCATCATCATCGTCGTCGTCGTCGTCGTCGTCATGCACCATTGCATCACTCGGCCAGGCATCTCAACCCGAGGTGTGCCGATGGACGTGGGTTTGTTGAAATCCGAACCCGAAATGGATTTTTTAGAACCATTGAATCTTTTCAATGGCAAGATTCCGTCCATTTTATCCCGCTGTTTTCTTTTTCTTTTTCTGTTGCTATTGCTTTTCCCTTCCTTTTCCTTATCTCTACGCCCGGGCCCCGCCGCTCTTCATCCACCCCGCGGTCCACGGGGTGAAAAGCGCTCAATCATCGTGGACTCTTTGAAAAACGCCGCGTTCCGTTGGTGGCTCACGTATGTATGAAACGGGAATCAAGAATACCGACGTTGGGATAATGGGATAATGACAATAACGATAATGGCAATGTCAATGATGGAATGGGACATCAGCATTCGAACATAGTTATATATCTTTGGTTAGTCAGAAGTAAAATGGACGATTAGCCCCGTTTCAGGTAGAGAAACCCAATGTCGAATCTCACACCAGCATCAGCACCAGCACCAGCATAAAACATCAGCATCAGCATCAGCATCGCCTTGACAGCCTGAGTGAGGTCCGAGAGCAATCAATCCGTCGGGAGCAGCACAAAGCAAGCCACCGTCCCGTCCCACGCAACGGCCGTGTCAGAAGCCCGAAGCTGTAACTGCTAGTTACTACAGTACTTGCTGCAAGTACTTCCCTACTCCGCGGGGTTCCTGGGCGGCTGGGAGCTTTTTTTCTACCTTTCCTCCTGCAGGTCATAATACATAGCTAGGTCAAACTAAACTAACCGGTTGCAAACCGACTTAGCCTCATACTAGGATCGTGTAACAATGGATGTCTGGCTTGGGCCCAAGATGCGCCGCGCTTGCGATCCTCGACGAACAAGCGGGGGTTGGGGGAGGAGGAGGGGTTTGTTAGCTGTGACAATGTGAAACTGCGAAGCTGAAGCTGTGAAGCTGTGAAGCTGTGAAGCTGTGAAGCTGTGAAGCTGAAGCTGAAGCTGCGAAGCTGTGGTCAAGCTGTCATGCAGAGTTCCCCCAGCCAGCCCCGTGTCCGTCCTGCGACATGACACCATATCGAATATCCTATCCCAGTAGCTGTATCCATACGGTACAGTCCTTAGATTTTTTCTGCGCAAAAATACCCGCTTGTGATGGTTTTCTTAATGTAACTGTGACCAGTCCAGTGGGCCTTGTGGGTTACATTACGGACGGAGTCCATCCCACGCTGCCGCACAGCCGAACCGCCACGCACAACCGCCCCCAATGCACACGCGCCCTGCCTTTCTTCCCGGGCCCGTGGCGCATTTTCAGTGCCAGATAATAATACAGTGTTTGCAAAAAAGGTGAAAGAAAAGAAAACAAAACAGAACAGAACAGAATGAACAGAACAAAACAGAACAAAACAGAACAAAATGTACTAGAATAAATAAATACCCCATGGACACACCTTATCCCCCCCCTCCGTGGCAAGGCAATCAAGGGACCTTTTCACCTCTGCCTCCACCACTGTGTGTGTATACAGAGTACATGCGTAATAATATTGCGCGCGCCGTCCGTTGAATTCCTCAGCAAGCAGGTAGCAGGCACACCGTACGCCGATGAAAAAAACTCCGGCGCTGGCAGTGACGTCAGCCAAGCGCGATGCAAGCAGGGGCCTTCTCGAAGGAGGTAACTAGTAACCAGTAACCGCTAATAAGATGGTGAAGATGGTGAAGCAGAATAAGCCGGCCATTGTTTGACGTTGTGGGCGCCCGCCGCCGCCGCCGCGGGGAGATGGGATTGGGGATATGTCTCCCCAGCTACGAGTCTTATTCATTTCATGATCAGGGCATTGTTGGAGCTTGGAGGACTTGTGTCTCGTCTTGCCTCCTCTTGTCTTGTCTTGTCTTGTCTTGTCTCATTCTCCGTGGATCGTCTTTCCCGAGCGTGCCCGGGCCGCTAACCGCATCCGGTGCGGCATTTTCTCATCCTGTTCCTACTGTGTTTTTGTGTTTTGTGTTTTTGTTTTGTTTTGTTTTGTTTTCTCCCTGTGACAGGACAGGACGCCGCTAGTATTTACGTATTCAGGATGTGGATACATGCGGCATTGACGCTGGACACATACAGGATGGGAGTAGATATAGAGATATTATAAGAATAAGGTATGTGGATTGAGATAGCCATCCCCTCCCATTTTCATCCCACCTATCCCCCCTATCCCCCCTCATCGCCCTCATCCCATGACCGGATCACCGTAAACGGCGCGTCCTGCCATAGTCTCCCTGTTCCATCTGCACCTGCACCTGCAACTACACCGTCCTCGCCCTCCCCCGCCCCCGCCTTCGTCTCCACCAAATACGACTCCCACCGCTCGTCCGTCCACGGCTCCCACCCCTCCCTCGCCAGCAGCTCCGCTCGGCTGCCCCTCTCCAACAGAAACGCGCTGGGCCTCCACATATCCACCATCTCTACCTCTGCCTCTGCCTCCTCGCCCTCCTCCCCTTCCTCCTCATCCTCACCCTCACCCTCACCCGGCGACGACGACAACCGCCGCCCGCGCACCACAGGCCACGCCCCCTTCTCCGCCCAGCCATGCCCCTCCAAGCCCTCCGCCCAATCGACCCGCACCTCAAAGACGCGCAGGCGCAGGCGCAGCAGCTGTCCGCAGCCGTCCCAGCCGTCCGCGAGGGGCCGGAGCAGGAAGCGCTCGGCGGCGCGCGACATGCAGCGCGGGCCGAGGGGCGGGGTGGTCCGTGGCCGCTTGAGCGAGACGCGCAGCTCGCGCAGGGCCGGCAGGCGTGGGAGGAGGCGCGTGCAGGCCTCGTCCCAGGCCGTGGGGGCGCGGGGCGTGTAGATCGGGATGTCCCCGGCGCGGTAGCGGGTGAAGGAGGTGAGTTTGCGGTTTATTTTGTAGAGGGTGGGTTGCGGGGTTGTGGGGGAGGGGGAATGGGAGGGAGAATGGGAAGGGGAGGGGGAGTTGGAAGAGGGCGAGGACGAGGACGAGGAAGAGGAGGAAGAGTTGGTGGAGGACGGCCGGTGGATGTGGCGGAAGGAGGGCAGGTATTGGAGGTGGTAGCAGGAGTCTATGTAGTTGAGCGGGGGCCCGCTAATCTCGAGCTTCGTGATCGCCCGCAGGTGGTGGTTTGGGATGGAGATGGAGAGGGCGAGCAGGGTGATGAGGTCCATCTGGAACGTGAGGTGCCTGTATAGCACGGTGATTGCCTCGGTGTAGCTGTTTTGTTGTGTAGTGTTGTGGTTTTGTTTCCTGAGTGTTAGTACTGCATTGTATCCTGGTAGAAAGGCTCTCCGAGTGGGATAGTATATGACGAGAAAAGAAAGAAAAGAAAAGAAAAGAAAGACACTATACATACACTCGCCGACAAACACTCAACAAATCCAGAGCGCCCACAATGCCCCTCGTCGCGCCGTCCGCGAACACCACGGGCGCCGCCTCCAGCTCATACGGGACAGCGCCCGACGACGACCCGGGGCCATAGGCCACCACCGGCCGACGGAAACTGGCAGCCAGACACGCATAGTCGGCCCTCCCGCCCACGAAGCAGGAGAACCCCGCCTCGACGCCCTCGGGACACGCGCAACTGGCCACTTTGCCGGGCACTCGGACGAGGTGGACGCGGTGGCAGGCGAGGGCGTGGTGGTATATGGCCAGGCGGATCTCGAGCGGCAGCCGCGTGAAGAAAGGGGACTGGGGCTGGTTTTTGAGGAGGAGCGTGTTGACGGATGTAGATGGAGATGGAGATTTGGATTTGGCGGCGAACGGCAGTGGGAATGGAAGCAATAGGGAGAACGACGGGGCTCGAAGATATCTGGGAACCGGCAGCCTGGACGACAGGAAGCTATCCTTGCTGTGGCCGCTGGAGGGACGGCTGCTCCTCTTCGCATGGCCGGAGTGGCCTTCCTCGAGAATGGAGGGGGTGATGGAAAGCCTTCTTCTTTTTCTTCGTCTTCTTCTTCTGCCTTCTTCTTCTCCTCCTCCTCCTCCTCCTCCTCCCCCTTTTCGGTCTGTGCCCTCACTCTCTGCCAGCGTCAGGCCAACGATGGGCTGCATGAGCCCCTCCGCCCTGCGCTCGTCAGCAGCCTTCTCGGCCGCGAACTTGACGATGAAGCAGGGGTAGAGGGGCAGGAGAAGACAGGTGACGACGGAGAGGAAGACGGCCTTCAGAGCACGCAGCACGGCGTCAACATCCATGGCTCATGATGGCTTTCTTCTAATGTATATATGATATATATCGTATCTTCCTGGTTGGTTCGCCATCGAACAGTGTTCTTCCTTTCCCAGGATACGAGCCGCCCACGCCAAGCCTTGCCACAGGAGGAGACTTGATTAGTTGCTTCCAGGGATAAAGGATCGAATGTAGGGATGTACTTACATTTCCCCCTTACTGCCGCTGAGGCATTCATTTTGTCCTTTCGCATCTCGTTGAAGGGATGGAGCATATACACATACCCACCAGTAGTATATATATATAGTATATATATATATACAGCTGTAACTAGGGCTTTCTTCGGAGTGACAAAACAAGCACCACACCATAGCCAGATAGGATGTACTGACAGTACGGTATGTACCCGTATGGTGTATCCAATACGGCAATACGGCTATACGGCTATACGGCCACACATCCCCCCCGCCAAGCACTCCGCCAAGCGATACACCGTCGCACACGCGGAGGAAGCCATTCCAATATCCGCTGCTTGGCCAGCCGCGGACCTGCCCCTGGCCGCTGCTGGATCGCAGATGCGTCGCAACTCTCTGCGACCGTCTGCCTCTACGCTGGCTGTCTGCGCCAGGGCCGCGTCGTCAGTCCGTGGTGTGATTCGATATGCAAGCATACCGTCTACGCCTCTCTCCTTTCCATGCTGTATGATGCTGGTGGTGAATGCCGTGACGATGGCCGTGACGATGGCCATGACGATGGCGATGATGACTATAATGACGATAATGACGATAATGACGATACCATACCACAATTGGCCGGCGATGCAGCGGAAATGTCGATCGTCGGCACTAGCAGCCGATCATTGGTATTTTTCTTGTCTTGTCTTGCTGTTTCTCCACATATTATCGATTTGGTAACTGATCGATGGTGATGAAATATCGATATCCCATACAGATTACAGATTAGATTACCGAGAGACACCCCGTGAGTTACACCGTCCGCCAGTCCGCCGAGCCAAGCCAGGCCAGGCCAAGCCAGGCCAAGCCAAGCCTCCTATTCCTCCTCCCCTCCCCTATCCTCCCTTCTCTACCCTTCCCCGGAGTGCATGAGAAGTAAAAATGGAACCGGACGAGCCAAGGCGATATACCGTGATGTCGGCCACGCAGCGTAACCTGCTGTACCCGGATGCGGTGGATCGGCCAGTGGCGCAGCGGGGCGGCCAAGAAGCCGCGTCTCCTGCGCCCAGAGGAAAAAAGGGGGGAATAGGGGAGGGGAGGGGGGGGATTGGGATTTGTTCTGTTTTCTCTGTTTCTTTGTTGCTGTGCGGTATGTGGTAAGAAGGAGGAGGAGAACGAGAACTTCACTCCGTACAACCGCACAGCTGGCGGGATGGCGGTGTTTATTTCTCACTTTCGTGGCCTTCTGAGTCCCGCATTTTGCTATTGCCCTTTGCCCTTGCTCTTGCTCTTGTTCGGCTAGCGTGTACAGCACGCCCTGACTGATAGTTGAAGAGGTGTGGCGTGTTATACGCCCCCGAAGAAAGAATCAACGGTTTTTTTTTTTCCGGCAGGCAAAATAATTGCTGATGGCTGATGGCTTATGGCTTATGGCTTGATGGGATTGACCACGTGGAGCTGGGCTCAGAGCCACTTTCTGCATCCAAACATTCCCACTCAGCTCCACTTTGTGTTGTGGAAGAGGATCGATCCCATGATACCTACTCCGTACAATTCACACTACTCAGCGTATTTACAGGTATAGATATAGATATAGATACAGATGCAGCATACAAATCACGAGATTGAGTTGCCGGATGCCCCTGAGTGGACATCGCTCCCCGTCGACAGCAACCCATCTCCACCGGCAGGCAGGATTTGGAATCATTCCTCATTCATCATTCATAGCCACCGTTTGGAATCAGAATCGGGGTGGTTGATACTACTAGTGTTGCGGGGATCTTACTGGATATATATATATATATATACATTATATATCTATAACTCGCGGATATCTACTAGTAGTTAATTAGTTAGTAATTAGTTAAATAGCAACCGCCATCGTAGCATAGCACCATCGCATCATCGCGGACATCAGACAGCAGACGTCAGAAAAAGCCCGCCGTGGAAAAGGAAAAAAGGAACCACAACCCCTTCCCCCCGCCCCCGCCAACCGCGGTCCCTGCCGCAATCCAATCTTGCCATCCGCCATCGCCATCGCCATCGCCACCAGCCAAGAACCCAGAGCCCAGTGGCGGCGGGCAATGGATAGGGCTATAAATAACATAGGTATGGTAGGTTTATGCTATCAGCCGTCGGCCTTTTGCTGGATTGCAGACGGGGACGGGGACAAGATGGGGACAAGACAGGGGCCGCACTCATCGTGGTGGGTAGGGCAGAACGGGAAGGGCCATCCACCCCCATTCATCCACGTACATGGTACCATAGCAGGGGATGGATTGAATTGACGATGGCAGTGGGTCAGCGGGGGATGGGGATGGGGATGGGGACGGAGCTGGGGTTGGGGCTGGGGCTTGGCTGATCCCCTAGCTGATGTGCGGGTGGAATATTTATACTCACTCGTACGAAGGAAGCGGGTTGCAGGGCCAGGAAGGGCGTAATATGGGTGAGTATAACCTCGGTTGGTTGGGAGGGAGGAGTTAGTCAGTGAGTTGGGGCGATGACGGGGCTGGATGTTACGCGAGATGTATATATATATGTATATATGTACTGTATGTGGATATAAATATATATTGATATATCTGTTGTTACGGCTACTGCCAGCGATGTAAACACACACACAGAGACAACAAATAAACAACACCAGTGCAGGATGTATCTCTGCCATGGATAACAACAGTAATAACAACAACAACAACAATAACAAGGTCCGCGCGCGACGCTGGGTCCCCACCCAGACCCAGGAGGAAGTGTTATCAGCGAGCCACCACCGCCAGAGAAGCTTCTCTCTGATCTCAGGGAAGAGAAGGGAAGTGGAGGCAGCGAACCCTTGCCCGATCTCAGGGTCCTTGAGATGTACAGAATGTACAGTATGTAGAGTATATAGAATGTACCATGGACAGCCCGCATCTGGGGAACGGAACCAACGAGGTGTCGCTTTGTGAGTGGTTGCGCACGTGCCTCGGCAGTGGACATGCAACGAGTGTGGCGGATCACGATAAGGGGAGATAGCTCCCTAGCTCCAGGAAAAAGAAAAGAGAAGAAAAAGAAAAAAGAAGAAGAAGCAAAAAAAAAAAAAAAGAAAACAAAAAAACAAAACCCAAGCCAAACCCCCATGTGCCGTGGATGTGCGGATTGTGGAGATGTGAGATGTGAGATGTGTCAGCAGCAGGAGACAGCAGAAAGCAGAAAAATCCCTCGTACTCGTACCGTATGGTATTGCGGTGTACTGTCCTGTACTGTCCTGTATTGTCCTGTATTGTCCTCGCTATGCCGACGGCCCGCCGCTGGCCAATGGCACGCCGCCAAGCGCGGTGGTTGTCAGCAGCGCGGATAAACGGTGGTCACTGGGCCCTGGGACCGGTACCGGTATCGCTCTCGGTACCGGTACTGTCACGGTATTGGCTGCTGCCACCTGGAAAATTGCGCATACAAACTGGGTCTGCAGCCGTGGGGTACCGGACTGTATTGGTATGTGTTTTTTCTGTGTCTGTTATTTTCTCTGTTTTTTCCCTGTAATTTGCCCTTCCTCCCTCCTCTTATAGTCGCCCGTCTCTGCTCTTCTCCTCTGCCCCGACAACCCGCTTTCCTCGCTTCTGCTGGTTTCTTTTTCTTCGTCGTCGTCGTCGTCTCTTCTTCTCTTCTTCTCTTCCTCTTCTCATCCTCATCCTCTTCCTCCCTCTCCCATCCTCATCTCCATCTCAATTCTCTCTCCTCCCTCTCCCCTCTCCCCTCTCCGCCATCTGTTTTCGGAGGACCGTTCCAGTCAATTATACCCCCCACAATCCCCCCTCCCTACCCTCAAAACAGAAGAAGAAGAAGGAAATACTGCTGCTCCATGCTCGCCGTTTGTCCCAGAAGAGACTGAAATAGGTCGGTTGCCCTGTTGATTGATATCATCCTATCTTCAAATACACCCATCATCCAGCGAATATCACCCAGAGCAGCAGAAAAATGGCACACTCCGCTGCTTCGGGCGCCGCCTCCGCCGCCCACTTCGAGAAGAAGACCCCCGAGGTCGCCCACGAGGAGAAGAAGCCACCGCTCCCCGAGGAGGAGGATGAGGACGAGGACATGGACGCCCTCATCGAGGAGCTCGAGTCCCAGGATGGCCACATCGACATCGAGGACGACGAGGACGGCGAGCCTGGCGGTGCCCGTCCCGTGCCCGACGAGCTGCTCACCACCGACACGCGCCACGGTCTGACCGATGCCGAAGTCGTCGCGCGCCGCAAGAAGTACGGCCTCAACCAGATGAAGGAGGAGAAGGAGAACCTGATCCTGAAGTTCCTCAGCTACTTCGTGGGGCCCATCCAGTTCGTCATGGAGGTGAGTGGCGATTCTCCTATTGTTATTATATATATATATATATGTATAAATGTATATATATGTATTATTGGCTTGTAAACCTAATTGATTGAAAATAAAAAAGGCCGCCGCCATTCTTGCCGCCGGTCTCGAGGATTGGGTCGATTTCGGTGTCATCTGCGCGCTTCTCCTGCTCAACGCCTGTGTCGGGTTCGTCCAGGAATTCCAGGCTGGCTCCATCGTCGACGAATTGAAGAAAACCCTCGCGCTCAAGGCTGTCGTGCTCCGCAATGGCCGTCTGACTGAGGTCGAGGCCCCCGAGGTCGTGCCCGGCGATATCCTCCAGGTCGAGGAGGGCACCATCATCCCCGCTGACGGCCGCATCGTCACCGAGGAGGCCTTCTTGCAAGTCGATCAGTCTGCCATCACCGGTGAGTCGCTGGCCGTCGACAAGCACAAGGGTGATACCTGCTATGCCTCCTCTGCCGTCAAGCGTGGTGAGGCCTTCATGGTCATCACCGCCACCGGAGACAACACCTTCGTCGGCCGTGCCGCCGCTCTTGTCAACGCTGCCTCCGCTGGTACTGGCCATTTCACCGAGGTGCTCAACGGCATTGGCACTGTTTTGCTCATCCTCGTCATCCTCACTCTGCTGGTCGTCTGGGTTTCCTCCTTCTACCGTTCCAACTCCATTGTCACCATTCTCGAGTTCACCCTGGCCATCACCATCATCGGTGTCCCCGTCGGTCTCCCCGCGGTCGTGACCACCACCATGGCTGTCGGCGCTGCCTACCTGGCCAAGAAGAAGGCCATTGTCCAGAAACTGTCCGCCATCGAGTCCCTTGCCGGTGTGGAGATCCTCTGCTCCGACAAGACCGGTACTTTGACCAAGAACAAGCTCTCCCTCGCCGAGCCGTACTGCGTTTCTGGCGTTGACCCCGAGGATCTGATGCTGACCGCCTGTTTGGCGGCCTCCCGCAAGAAGAAGGGTATCGATGCCATCGACAAGGCGTTCTTGAAGTCTCTCCGCTACTACCCCCGCGCCAAGTCCGTCCTCACTCAGTACAAGGTCCTCGAGTTCCATCCCTTCGACCCCGTCTCCAAGAAGGTCAGCGCCGTCGTGCTGTCCCCCCAGGGCGAGCGCATTACCTGCGTCAAAGGTGCCCCCCTCTTCGTCCTCAAGACCGTCGAGGAAGACCACCCCATCCCCGACGAAGTCGATAGCGCCTACAAGAACAAAGTCGCCGAGTTCGCTACCCGTGGTTTCCGCTCTCTTGGTGTTGCCCGCAAGCGCGGTGAGGGTTCCTGGGAAATCCTTGGAATCATGCCCTGCTCCGATCCTCCCCGCCACGACACGGCCAAGACCATCAATGAGGCTAAGACGCTCGGTTTGTCCATCAAGATGTTGACCGGTGATGCGGTCGGTATCGCCCGTGAAACTTCTCGCCAGCTCGGTCTCGGAACCAATGTTTACAACGCTGAGCGTCTTGGTCTCGGCGGCGGCGGAACCATGCCTGGCTCGGAGGTGTACGATTTCGTTGAGGCCGCAGATGGTTTCGCGGAGGTTTTCCCCCAGCACAAGTACAACGTCGTCGAGATCCTGCAACAGCGTGGTTACCTCGTCGCCATGACGGGTGACGGTGTCAACGACGCCCCGTCCCTCAAGAAGGCCGACACCGGTATCGCCGTCGAGGGTGCCTCCGACGCCGCCCGCTCCGCCGCCGACATCGTCTTCCTCGCCCCCGGTCTCTCTGCCATCATCGACGCGCTCAAGACCTCCCGTCAGATCTTCCACCGCATGTACGCCTACGTCGTCTACCGTATTGCCCTGTCCCTCCACTTAGAAATCTTCCTGGGTCTCTGGATCGCCATCCTCAACACATCCCTCAACCTCCAGCTTGTCGTCTTCATCGCCATCTTCGCTGATATCGCCACCCTCGCCATCGCCTACGACAACGCCCCTTTCTCCAAGACGCCCGTCAAGTGGAACCTGCCCAAGCTATGGGGAATGTCCGTCCTCCTCGGCATCGTCCTCGCCATCGGCACCTGGATCACCCTCACAACCATGCTCGTCGGTTCCGAGAACGGCGGTATCGTCCAGAACTTCGGTCGACGCGACCCGGTCCTCTTCCTCGAAATCTCCCTGACCGAGAACTGGCTCATCTTCATCACCCGCGCGAACGGGCCCTTCTGGTCCTCGATCCCGTCGTGGCAACTGTCCGGTGCCATCCTGCTCGTCGACATCATCGCCACCTTTTTCACGATCTTCGGTTGGTTCGTGGGTGGGCAGACGTCCATCGTCGCCGTGGTTCGTATTTGGGTTTTCTCGTTTGGCTGCTTCTGCGTCCTTGGTGGACTGTATTATCTGCTCCAAGGCTCGGCGGGCTTTGACAACATGATGCATGGGAAGAGTCCGAAGAAGAATCAGAAACAGAGATCACTGGAGGATTTCGGTAAGCATATCTATCTATCTATCTCTCTTGATTTCAATTTATTTGGCTTCAACGTTTCAGATAAATATTACATATATACGTCGATGGCTTCATTCTAACCAAAGTGCACTCCGTACTTTACAGTTGTTTCACTCCAACGAGTCTCCACACAACACGAGAAGAGCTCATGATCCGCGCATCCAACCCATTCCATCCAAAAGTACAAAGACACCAACCAAAAACATGCAAAATAAATAAATACCATCATCCCGCACTTAAAAAATAAAAGGAGGATTGGGGGGAGGATTTGATAATCTTTGTATTTTTTTTTGTGGTTTTCTTTTGTTTCCTTTTCATACT